CGTGCCGAGGTCGTCGAGCTCACTCGGGTGCGACGCAATGACAACGACGCCGACGATCACAGCGAGACCAAAGATGGCCACCGAGAGGACGATCGCGCCCGAGCCGGCGGCGGACGAGCCGTTTGCGAGCTCGATGCGCGCCTTGTACGAGCCCGTCATGGCCACGATGTAGAGCGAGAGGAGCAGAAGCAGCACGTACGCCCAAATGACTTTGCGAAAGTACTCGACCCAGAGATTCTTCTTTGACTTTTTGACGCACGTCATGATCGCCGTGACAAGCACGTAGAGCACGAGAATGGCCGCAAAGACGATCGATAGGATCATGAGCGTGTAGTAGAAGAGGTCGTCGGGCTGCACGCCGAGCGTCGCGGCGTACCGCTCGACGCCGGTCTCGCTCGTTTGCGCCGAAAAGATGTCGAGGCGGCGTGCGTGCAGCGACGATTTCACGGCGTCGACGCCTTTGCCAATGTTGAAGTTGACCCACGCGAGCTCTTTTGTAAACTCTTGGAAAAACAGTGGGGCGCCCGACGTCTGGAGCTGCCCGAGAAGGCCGATGAACTGCGCTTGCTCGACGATCGCGAGCACTTCGTTCACGTTGGAGCCTACGCTGCCGAGCGTAGCCGCGCCCGGAAGGAAGGATGCCCATGCCATGGACGCGACCCCCGACGCGACCGACGAGGCGATGGCAATGCCAACCTACATGACATGAGATAATGCAAGTCTCGCGGTGGGCGCACCACAGAGCTCATGGTTTGGCCGCCAAACGTGTCGAGCGTGTGGCGGAAGCCCGTCGTGTTGGGCGGGAATTGCGTGTTGATGCCGAGGACGCAGCCCGAGCAGTTGAGCGATGCGGCCGACTTGCCGGCCGAGAGCGACGCGATCTGGTCCTCGCCCCACGGCTTGAGGTACAGCGTGTAGATGAAGTACATGAGGACGAGTGGTCCGAGCGTGAAGGCCAGCCAGACCACCTTGTAGAGCACGAGCGTGAGGCAGCAGCATTTGCTACCGACGCCCATCGTCGCGACGATTGCACTTTGGCGTCTATTCGATGGAATCAGACGCGTCCAATTGGACCGGTATACAAACCCGCCTATAGTGTAAAGGGTGGAATGGCACCATACTCAATCCAAATGAAATGGCGTGGTGTAATGCGCCAAAAAAAGACATTACTTTATTGGCGTCGAAATTTACGGTATCTTGGCAGCTCGGTCCGACAACAAACGGCGGGAAGGCGGCAAGCGCTGCTGCTGCTATGATCTCTTCCCAGGCAAGCGACAGCAGAGCACGACGCGCTCAACAACTCGATACTGGACACACAGTGGCGTTGGCACAGCACACGGAGAAGAAACGAAAGAAGGGAAAACCACAGATGACGTCATCCGTTTGCACTTGCCCGAGAAACTCACGGGTCAGAGTTTTGTTGAGCGACTGGCCAAGTCTCGCATTGGAGATACCAGAGAGAGCATCTCGAATGCTAGAAGGGAGCAAAGGGCCTATCGAGCCGAAGAGGACGTCGTCAGAACCGAGAAGCTACCTGAACCTGGTTCCTTGGGCCAAAAAGCATCTCCGCCGGTTGCAAGAACGCGTTGGAGAGAGCGATGTGTGGCATGCGAACCCGTGTCACAACACCGCGATGCGTGGGCATCGTAGCAGCTGCGCCTCGCACGATCTCGAGACCGAAAAGAGAGCTTGCCATGTCGAGCATCAGTAGGTCCCATAAGCAATGATGTACGGAGCTTTGTCGTCGCCAAGTTGAAGTCGAACGCACGTGACCATCATTCTTGACGTTCAAGCACAAAACGTCTTATTTTAGTTTTTCCCGCCATGAGCGCCAGCAACAGCACCGACAACGCCGCGACGGCTTGCAACGCGCAGGTTATAAAATGGAAAACTTGTCTTGTTTCGTTTAATGACACATGCAACATACATGTCGCCGCCGCACCGAGACAGGGACCAATCCGCTCGAGACGACTTCCGACGTTCTAGTTCCTAACAACTAAGGTGCTTCTTAGAGCACGAGCGCTTGCGCGACGGCGTAGTCGCCCGAGTGCGAGATCGAGAGCTTGACGCTGCTGAGGTTCGACACCTGGAACGCGGCAAGGGCGCGGCCCGCAAAGCTGACGGTCGGCGCGCCCGAGACGGACTTGCCAATTTCGATGTCAATGAGCGGCGCTTCCGGACCCGCCGTGAGCTGCGCGTTCGGGTTGGCGTTGCAGATGGCCTTGACGACAGCCTCCTTGGCGGCCCAGCGACCCGCAAACGACGCCGCGGGCGCGGCCGACGCTTCGCAGTACGCGATCTCGGCGGGCGTAAAGTTGCGCGCCACAAACGTCTGCTTGAGCGCAAAGTCGGCAAAGGTAGCGATCGGCTCGACGTCGATGCCGAGGCCTTGGCCCGACGACATGATGAGCTGCGAGCCGGCCGACGCCATGGACGATTCGAGCATCTTCTTGGGCGCGACGACCGGGCCCGACGTCGGCGGCGGCGCGACACCCGTCTCGACCGCCGCGTCGACTTCCGACGACACGTCGCCGAACGTCCACGTCTTCTCCTTGGGGTTGTACGCGGCGCGGGCGTTCGGGTTGAGGTAGACCGCCGACTCGTTCTCGGCCGTGTACGGCGCGTGGTCCTTGACTTGGACGAGCGCGTGCTTGTTGGCGAGCACGTTCTGGTAGTAGTTGTGGAGACCCGCCGTGCGCTTGGCGCGCTTGACCGAGTACGCTGCGTACGTCTCCGGCTCGAGCGCCGCGAGCAAGTAGTTGGGGTGGATCAAAAGCACTTCGCCGCCGGCTTGGCCAAACCCAAAGCTCTTGAGCATCGCAGCCTTGACGCCGTCCGTCTGGATCGACCGGTTCGGGTACACGAGCAGATCAAACTTTTGGAGCTCGGGCGCCGTGTTGTCGTTGTTGGCGTTGCCCGGCACAAGCCCGGACTGCATCACTTGGAGGAGGCCGTTGAACATCCACGCCGCCGCCGCGCCCTTGGGATGGCCCGTGAGGTACTTTTGGCACACGACCATGATCGGGTTGCCCGGCGTGCGGCCGAGGTGCTCGAGCTGCTTCTGCGTGATCTCGCTCTCGTTCTTGTCGTTGGCGTTGGTGCCCGTGCCGTGGAAGCTCGTGACACCGAGGTCGTCGACCGTGAGCCCCCACGCGTTGAGCGCCCGCGAAGCGGCGCAATTGAAGTTTCGCCCTTGAAGAAGTCGTGGCCCCACATGTGCTGGGCCGCCTTGAGCTTCTTGAGCGCCATGCGCTCGACCACGTCGGCCGCGTACAAGGTCTGGTTCCCGGCCGCAATCGCCGCGAGCTGCTTGGTCTTCCACGCGTTGATCGCTTCGACTTCGTCGTCAAACTGCGCGCGGCGGAACGACGGGTTCAAGAGCGCGCTGGCCATGCGCCCATCGTCGCCGACCGTGAACTCGCGCGCCGTCGTGAGGATGCCCTGGCCCGGCGACGGCACCGATCGGCCGTTCTTGTCGGTCGCCGTGTTGGTCGCGCCGACGATACCGTAGATCGGGACGCCCATCTCGATCGCGAGCGACGCGTCCATGAGCACCTGGATACCGGCGCCCTGGGCCTCCATGAAGCCGCCGCGGGTGTCGGTGCACGGGCGGCACATCTCGCGCGGGTCGCGGCCCATGCTCGTTTCCTTGACTGCGTCCGACGTCGCCTTCATCTGCGCAAACTCATACGAGCCTTCTTCGCCAAAGTCGTCGTAGCCGCCGACGATGACGACGCGCGCCTTCCCGCTCAGAATGGTTTCGACACCAATGTCGACCGACTCGGCGGCCGTCGCGCACGCACCGACGGGCGTCTTGATCGGGCCGGACGACGAGAGCAGCAGCATGTTGACCCACGCCGCCATCGTGTTGATGAAGCACTCTTGCAGCGAGTCGGACGGAATGTTCTTGGCGAGCGCGCGTTCGTGGTAGATGCGCTTGAGCGAGCGCATGCCGCCCATGCCCGAGCCAGACGTGTTGCCGACCGCCGAGACGTGCACGTACTGGTAGAACTCGTACGGGTCCGTGATGCCGGCGCAAATGAGCGCTTCGGCCGTCGAGACGAGCGTGAAGAGCGTGACGGGGTCGACCGCGTCGGCAATGTCCGCGGGAATGCCGAGACGCTTGGCGTCCCAGCCCGTCGGGATCTGGCCCGCGACAAACCGGTTGAAGCGGAGCGCCTTCGGGATCGAAAGCACCGCGCCTTGGCGGAGGCGGATCATCCACACGCCGTCCTTGCCTTCGTACACGTCGACGTTGTCGTCGCCGAGCTCGCGCTGGAACTCGAGCGCCTCCTCTTGGCTCGCGACCTCGATCGGGCGCATGTTCTTGTCGACCGCGACCTGCTGCAAAACATCTTCTTGGCCGGGTCGTAGCCTTCAAAGAGCGCGGGCTCGATGACGCGGATGCCGGCATGCTCGAGCATCTTCTCTTCGTAGAGCGCCTTGACCTGCGTGTCGGGCACCGGGTCCTTGCTCGACGCGTCGACCCACCCAATGTAGTGCTCGCCGTTCTTGAGCGTGCCGTTAAAGTACACAATGTAGCCGAGGAGCCACGCGAGCTCGATGCAGCCTTCGATCGAGAAGACGCCGTACGACTCCATTTCCCAGCGCGTGCGCGAGTTGCCCCACGGCCCGACTTCGCCAAAAGCCGACGACCACCACCGTCTTGTCCAAATCGATCATGCCGCGGTAGTTGGCACCGAGCGGCGCGAGCTCGGACGCGGCCGGGAGGCTCGGGAACCTGGCGAAGTACTC